TGTTAAAAAAAAAAAAAAAAAAGAATGGCCTCGATGAAGCAGTAAAAGTTATGAATTTTATTAAATCCTTTCAGTAAAAGGTTTTTAAAACTCTGGGTGGCAGGCTGGGAAGTGTGCATAAAGCAGGTATACCGCACGCTGATACGTGATGTTTGTCTTGAAGAAAGCCAGTTGGGGAACTGAGTTGTGAGTTACACTGGCCGCTTTCTTCTTGGAACGCCATTTTTTCCTTGAAATAATGACACAGCTCTTCAGACTTGGGTATCCAGCAGAGATGAGCAAGGTGAGCTTGTCACTCTGAGGAAAATAATTGACAGCGTTTGTTGCCTAAATCCAATAAAATTCAAACTTTCAAGTGAAAATTAGAATTTTGGAAAGCTGTGCTCTTCACCAGGAGATGGACAACGTAAACTTAGAAGGCTTTGCTGATGGGGTTGGTAGTGATATTTGCAAATGTGATGTTTAAAATATTGTCAAGGTTTATAAGATTCGTGTAACTTGGTGAACCTGTATTTTGCAAATAACCAAAGCTTGTAGGTACAAAATAGCACACAAATAAAAGATCCATTCAAAGTGCAAGATAAATCAATCACTTTTAATATGTAACACTATAAAAAGTTATTGGTATCTTTCAGATTCCACATTACGCCTAATTTTTAAGAAACAACCAGCGTTTTGGGGTGCCTGGATGGCTCAGTTGGTTAAGCATCTTACTTCAGCTCAGGTCATGATCTCGTGGTTTGTGAGTTCCAGCCCCGATTCAGGCTTTGTGCTGACAGCTCAGAGCCTGGAGCCTGCTTCGGATTCTGTGTCTCCCTCTGTCTCTGCCCCTCTCCCATTCGTGCTCTGTCTTTTTCTCTCAAAAATAAACATTAAAAAATTTTTTTTGAAAACCTTTTTTTTTTTAAATGTTTATTTTTGAGAGAGAGATAGAGGGTGCATGCACGAGTTGGGGAGGGACAGAGAGAGAGAGGGAGAGAGAGAATCCTAGGCAGGCTCCATGCTGTCAGTGCCGAGCCCAACATGGGGTTTGATCCCATGAACCAGGAGATTGTGACCTGAGCCGAAATCAAGAGGCAGATGCTAACCGACTGAGCCACCCAGATGCAGTGTTAGAGTTTTAACGTAACATCAAAGAATATTCATGGAAACACTATTTAAATTTATTTCCCTTTTCCAACTATACATCTGTGTGAGGCTGCATTTTCTTCATATGCTTTAACCAAAACAACATATTGCAAGAGAATGAATTCAGCAGATGTGAGCATCCAGCTGTCTTATATTGGGCTACAAAATAAAGAGACTTGTAAAAATGTAAAATAATGCCATGCTTTTTACTAATTTTTTTGTGTGGCGGGGGGTGGGTGGGGGTCTTTGGAAAGTGTAATTATCTCTTGTAAAAATATGCTGTTAATGTGTAATGATTTTATTACTTTTTAGTGAAAAGATGAATATTTTAAAATTTTCTCACTTTTAATTTCTGATTTGGTAGACATTAATAAATGTAATCTACCAAAAACCAAAAGTTGAGTCTGGTTTTTTACCATTCCAAACATTGCTACGATGTGCTTTTTTTCTCACGCTTGTGATTCTTTCAGTAAGATAAATTCCTAGAAGTGTTATGTCAAATGACAAATACATTTTTATGTTTAGACATTGGCAGATTGCCTTCTAACATAGTTTATCTAACTTTTCCTGTAATAGTGGGTGAAGGTGCCCTTTTCCCACATAGTAATTAGCACTAATAGATTTAAGGTCTAATAGGTTTAAAAATGGTAGTGTACATTTCTTAAAATTTTGCCTTTTTCAGAAATCATTAGTGAAATTAGACATCTTTTCATAGCTATTTTTCTTATTTTGTCAATGGCTTACATATGGATTTGTCCTTTTTTTGACATGTTGATCATCTTAACTGATTTGGAAGAGCTGTTAGGAAAAAGAGCTTCTGATAGTCATGTAGTGCTGCAAATAATTTTCTCAGTTCCTTATAATTTTATGAGATTTTAAATGTCAGTGAGGGTTTTTTTTCCATGTTGCTGTATTTATTTTTTCCTTTATGGCTATTGGGTTTTATGTCTTGTGTAGGCCTATATCAAAATTATAAAAATATTATCTATATTTTTTTTCCTGATTGATGATTTAAAAAAAATTTTTTTTTTTTTTACATTTATTTTTGAGAGACAGAGATAGAGCACAACTAAGGGGGGGGGCAGAGAGAGAAGGAGACACAGAATCTGAAGCAGGCTCCAGGCTCTGAGCTGTCAGCACAGAGCCCGACGCGGGGCTTGAACCCACAAACCGCGAGATCATGACCTGAGCTGAAGTCAGGCACTCAACCGACTGAGCCACCCAGGCGTCCCCCCGATTGGTGATTTTTAACTAGTTTAAATTAAACCCATCCTAAAAATGTAACAGCTCAATTTTAGTACTAATGTGAATAGGATCTGTCATCGCATGTAATGGAAACTTGAATGGTTTCAAATGTAAGATGATAAATTTACAGATATACTGTGTGTCACACCCCACTGCCTGAACCCCCTTGTAACGGTATTTCCTTTTGTTTGCTATTTTTCTTTAGTTAAGGAAGCGTGTGAAGCTTGAAGGGAAAGAACTTGAAGAATACTTGGAAAAAGAGAAACTAAAGAAAGAAGCTGCGAAAAAACTTGAGCAGTCAAAAGAGTGAGTTGTTTTCAAACAGATTAAAAGCTTATGGTTAATTGTATATAACTTAAGAACTTATTTCTAAGATAAATTTTAATTGAAAATATTTAAATTTTATGTCGAGTTTGTTACTTTTGTTACATCTTTAAATGGTGCTAGAATGCCGGGTGCTTTCAGTGCTAATATTTTGTTTTGTTTTTAAAAAAATCGAGGTACCAGCGTGGCTCTTGATTTCACCTCAGGTCATGATCTCATGGTTGTGAGTTGGAGCCCCGTGTCAGGCTCCACGCTGACCCCGCCAAGCCTGCTTGGGAGTCTCTCTCTTTCCCTCCCTCACCCCCCCACCCCCCCCATGCTCGCACCCTCTCTCTCAGAAAAACACAGTTAAAAAAGAAAAAATCAGTTTTAGTTTTTAAAGAGCTTTTTTTTTTTTTTTTTTAAATTTGAGAAAGAGAGCAAGCATGAGCAGGGGAGGGGCAGAGGAAGAGACAGAATCTTAAGCAGTGCTCCACACTCAGCCTGGAGCCCAATTCAAGGCTCAGTCTCATGACCCTGGGATCATGACCTGCGCCAAACTCAAGAGTCGGATACTCAACCAACTGAGCTACCCAGGTGCCCCTAAAGAGATTTTTTAAATGACTTATATTGCTCACATATTTCTTTTTTTAAAAAAAATGTTTTAATGTTTCTTTTATTTTTGAGAGAAAGAGAGCGTGAGGGGGAGAGGGACAGAGAGAGAGGGAGACACAGAATCAGAAGCAGGCTCCAGGCTCCGAGTCGTCAGCACAGAGCCCGGCGCAGGGCTGGAACTCATGAACCGTGAGATCATGATCTGAGCTGAAGTCAGATGCTCAACCGACTGAGCCACACAGGCACCCCATATTGCTCACATATTTCTAATTTCTTGTTCCTCCCTTGTATAGACATATTACCCCATGGTACATCTTTCCTTCTCCCTGATTTTTGTTTCATGGACTGCTGCATATCTGCAGGCAATAAGTTCCATCAGATTTTTCTGGGTTGGTTTTTTTTTTTTTTTGGTCTGTCAAATTTCTTTTTATTTTATATTTATATTTGAATGATACTTTTACCGGGAATGTGAATTAGCAATTTACAGGCTTCATTCCATTGTTTCTGGCAGGCAGTTTCAGACAATGCTGTCATTGTTCCCTTTGTTCCTCTGTATTGTGTGTGTGTGTTTTTCTCCGTTGATTATGATCTACCTTAGTGTGACTATGTTATTTAAAAAAATTTTTTTAATTGCATGTAGTTGATGCTTTCAGTGCTAGTATTAATGAGTATTTATTAACTGGCAGTTAATGTTTTACAAACTATCAATCCAATAACATTATCATTGAATTAATTGAATAATAATTTTCTAAACATTAATTCAAAATCTTTTGGGGACTTTATGACCTTTCTCTGTTCCACAATCTTCTTAGGGCAGACATAGATTCTAGTGATGAGAGTGACGTTGAGGAAGATATTGACCAGCCCTCAGCTCATAAAACCAAGCATGACCTGATGATGAAAGGTGAAGGTAGTCGTAAAGGAAGTTTCTTCAAACAGGCTAAAAAGTCTTATCCTATGTTTCCTGCCCCAGAAGAAAGAATTAAATGGGATGAATATGGAGAAATTATCAAGTACGTGAATAAGTTTTTCTTTCTTCTAGATTAGACTGTTTGGTGTATAACTCTCTGTATCATTAGAACTCGATAAATTTGGCCTTTCTGGTCATGTCATGTGCTTTGATAGTTTCTGAGTACTCCACAGAGGATTTGTATAGTTTGAAACATAAAAATAGAAAGGATGAGGAACATCTAGAGAATAAATATATATGTATTTTAAAGTTTGAGAGAGTGAAAGAGAGCATGCACACGTGAGCATGAGAGTGCATGCAAGTGGGGGAGGGACAGAGAGAGAGAGAATTCTGAGGGATCTCAGCACAGAGCCCGATAGGGGGCTTGAACTCATGAACTGTGAGATCATGACCTGAGCCGAAATCAAGAGTCAGGTGCTTAACCAACTGAGCTACCCAGTTGCCCCTAGAGAATTAATATTAAAGGCAAACTGTCAGGTTTATTAGTTAGGTATGTGAAAGGTTCAAAAAGATGACCAAAATCCCTCCCCCGCCCCTTAAAAAGAAAGGGTAAGGGACATGCATTGGAGAAAGACATAGGATAGGGAGAATTTTTGATAGATTGTGATGTGTGAAGTTTGGGAAATGGGTTACATCTCAAGCAGTTTTGTACACATTTTAGTTCCAAGAGGGATGTGAGATAGCATGGGTGGAATCATGGGAAGTCTACCAAATTTACAGCCACTACTGGAAGACAACTGAAATTACGTGTTCAAATCCACGTTTGAAAACACTGCTATCCTGTGTAAAGGTCCCTCATAGTTCCCATTGCTCTGCAGGCAAATGTCAAATGCCTTAGCGTGACGCATGGTGTCTTTCATAATCTGGTTTCTCCCGACTTTTCTGTTATGTTTCTGTATATTTCTGTCATGCCATTGAGCATTCTCTGCTGTCGTGGTACCAGCCTTCTCCGTTTCCTTCTGCTCGGCTTCTCCACGTCGTGCTCCTGCACATGCTCCTCCCTCAGCTTTGTTCCATCTTCCCGTCCCAGGTCTCCAGGCGGTTGAATCTGGCCTTACAAATTTCTAGAAGCCTTTCCTGTTTCTTCCTTGCCACCCCAGTACAGTCTAGGTCCCTCCCTGGTGCCTTCTTTGTACTTCCCGTAATGCTCTCTTAAGCATATAGTGGATTCTAGGTCATTCTTGGACTTACTTAGGAAAATTCCCCTGTCTACTTGGTCCTCTAAAATAGTGGAGAGGAAAAATAACAATCTAAATAACATTGGTGAGTTTGTTTACCATTCTACTTATTCTACTTAATTAGTGTCCAATGTTCAGTTTTCAATTTCCTTATCTGAAAAGTGGGGGTAAGAATGAAATGGGATTGTGTTTTTAAGGCATTTAGCATAGAATCTGACTTGTGACTCATGACTCCTAGTGAGCGTGCTCTAAGTGGTTGCTACTACTGTTGTTATTATGTGGATTATAGGTGGAGAAGTTGGACTCCAGTGTCTGAGAAGCTCCTATAATAGTCTAGGTGTTGGGTAACAGGGGCCTGGATTCTCAGGAGTGGGAGCAGATTTGGGGTGTGGGGCGTAGACAATTTCAGGGGGTTAGAGAGAACATTTTTAAGTTTGTTTTTAAATTTTAACATACAACTCTCTCTGATACTGGAAGTAAACATGGGAAGATAGATGCATTCGTGCTTTGTTGAAATAAAGGCAAAGGCTTTTGAGGGAGCTCATGATTTTGTATCTCCGTCTTCTTGGTAATGTGCCAGTGGGGAGTCATCTTTGGGCAGGGATAGAATAACTGGGGCTCTTAAGGAAATCAAAAGAGGCCTGAGATTTATAAGAAGTGGGACTTGGGAAGAGAAACCACAGAAAGAGAAAAAGAATGATTGAAATAAATGCAAGGCCAGGTTGTAATAGTACTTTTGATAACCTCCTAATGGTCTATCTAGGACTCTTTACTAGCCCAACAGCACGCTCTGAAGAGCATTCCTCAGTGGTCAGGAAAAACACAATAGATGCAGTCATTTGGTAATTGATACTACAAAGTTGCATTAGCTTTGGATCAATTGTGTATTTAAATCTTGAGATATGTGAGGAGCCTAAAACTTAATGCCATTTACTAAGTACTTATATTATCTAATATTAGCTTGCCTGTTAGTGCTCTAATTAGAGACTTATATAATTTAGACCAGAGGATTTCTTAGTGCCAGAACTTCAAGCAACTGAAGAAGAGAAAAGCAAATTGGAATCTGGCTTGACAAATGGAGATGAACCCATGGATCAGGATCTATCTGATGTTCCCACTAAGTGTATTTCTACAACAGAGTCTATTGAAATAAAGTAAGTGCTTTTTGTCGCGTTTTGAAACTAGGTTATGAGATAAAATTTCAAGAACTTGAATTATATAATTTACATTGTTTCAAATGTGAAATTTCTGAATATTCTCTAGTAAGTTGTTGTTTTTAAAATTTAATTTCTTTTTCCCTGCAAAGGTCTGTGAAGCATGGTGGCATTTTGTTTTCATTAATGGTATTTGAAAGCCAATGCAATTGAATTGGTATTGAGGTAGGGGGTTAACATTAAACTCTACATTTATATGAAGAAACATTCTGGACTTTTTAGTAAGTTTAGTAGCACATGTTTAATTTTTCTAAGTGTTTGTTTTGTAAAATATACTCCTTGACTTAAACATTTCTAGTGCCCTAATGTCTGAAAAATGTTATTATAATCTGAAGTGGTTAATACACCTTTTTCCTTTTCTATTTGGTACAGTTAGTAACACCAGTAATTCATCATTTTGGATTTTTCTTTAAGTCTTTAGATAGCAAAGCAGTTTATTTGTCCAGTGATATTTAGCATATATTATGGGCTATGGTTGTTATCTAAATAATGCATGTTAACAGTGTCACAAAATTCTCTGCCGAATGGCTGTATCAGTTTATACTTTCACTAGCAGAGCAGAAGGCTTCTTTCAACCCTGTTTCCTTACCAACATTGGGCATTATTGAACGCTTCAACATTTTCCAGCCCAATAGGTATAGAGTAATAACGTATCACTACTGTTTAAGTTTGTCTTACAGTGATTATAGTTTGATTATCTTCTTCAAATGCTTGGGACCTTTTTTGTTTTCTTGTCTATGAAGTCCCATGTTTATGGCCTTCATGTCTTTTTCTCTAGGGGTTGTTGCCCTTATGTTACTGATGTGCAGGGGTTCGTTGTACATTTTGGATGTTACCCCTGCTTGGTTTCAGACAATGCAGATAGCCTCTCCCATTCTGTTATCTTTTTATATGAGTGGTCCAGGGTCTACCTTGTTTAAAAAAAAAATCTTTAATTTTGATGTAATGAAATAATAAAATAAAATATTTTCATTATGGTGTTTGGAATTGTATATAATGAAGTCCCTCCCTGTCCCTGGTCACAAACAGAATTCTTACATTTTATTCTATTGAATTTAAATCTTCACATTTTTCTTTTATGGCTTCAACTCACCTGCTGTTGTTTGTGGCATTAGGTCAGCAATCGGTTTTATTTTTCTTTATATAGTGAGCCACTTTTTCTAATAATACCTACTGAAAAATCCATAACCCTTCCCCCTCACATGTACATACACTGTAACATGTGTATTCCTCAAATCCTCATTTTATGTATTGTATACATTTCTTTCCTGATTATAAAAGCCATTAATAACTTGGTTTTAAAATTATCAGAAAAACAAGCTCGGATAATTCTGTCTAATTACAGAGCTAGGGTTACTTACATAGACTATGAAGGACGCTCTGATGGAGATTCCATTAAAAAGATCATTAATCAGATGAAACCACGACAGTTGATCATTGTCCACGGACCACCAGAGGCCAGTCAAGATCTTGCCGAGTGCTGCCGTGCATTTGGTGGGAAAGATATTAAGGTGTACATGCCAAAGCTACACGAAACAGTTGATGCCACTAGTGAAACTCACATCTATCAGGTAAGCGTGCTGGCACCCAAGCCATGTGAAATAAATACATTATTGTTGCAGATTAGGACAGGTACATTAGGAGTACAGGGGTGAGTGAGATAGATGTGGTCCCCTGTCTTAGGAGGTCTTCTAGTCTTTAAGGTGTTAGGGGCTTATAACAAGGAAAGAGCATTTATCACATTGTTATGCCTCTGATAGAGAAAGTACAGGATGTTGTGAATAGGGAGGGAGAGGGAGACACTGCCCCAGAGAGGGACACTCCCCAGAGAGGGAGACACTGCCCCAGAGTTGGAGGTTTAGAAAAGATTTTCCAGAGGAAGTGATAACTAAGCTGAATCCTAACATGTTTTGACAGGTTGTCAGGGTAATGTAGAGAAGGGAAAGAGAGAGAAAGGGTATTCCAGGCAGAGGGAACATTTGCAAAACTATAGAGGTGACGGGAATGGGGAGTATTCAAGAATTCAAAAGTTTTATAAAAATTCACTGATGTTGGGGCGCCTGGGTGGCTCAGTCGGTTGGGTGTCCGACTTCAGCTCAGGTCACGATCTCGCGGTCCGTGAGTTCGAGCCCCGCGTCGGGCTCTGGGCTGATGGCTCAGAGCCTGGAGCCTGTTTCCGATTCTGTGTCTCCCTCTCTCTCTGCCCCTCCCCCGTTCATGCTCTGTCTCTCTCTGTCCCCAAAATAAATAAACATTAAAAAAATAAATAAATAAAATTAAATTAAAAAATTCACTGATGTCAAGGTTCTATTCATACTTGAAAAAAATGGAAGCAGATACAAAAAAAACAAAAACAAAAACAAAAAAACGAGAATAGCACAGAGGAGAGATTAGCTTTTTTCTGGTAGCAGGAGTTGGTGTCAGTTAAAGCAGGGATGATGTCTAGATTTAGTTGGAAAAAATGGATTGGAATTCACCAGGCAGAAAAGTTACTCTGGATAAAACAAGAGGAAGCAGCTGTCCAAGAATATGGATGTGTGAGGTTCATGGTAATGGAGGAAACAGAAGTAATTCAGTGTTCTTGAAGCAGCAGCAAGGGCTGATGGGTGAGACTTGTCAGTGGTTCTCAACCTTGGCCACATATGAGAACCATCTGGGGAGCTTTGGGGGTGTTAGGGGGACTCAGTGCTCTGGTTTTAGTCTCATCCGTTATGTTAGAATCACTGGAGGTGGGACCCTGGCATTAACACGAATTTTAAGAAATTGCCATGTGGTCCTAGTGTGCAGTCAAGGGCCTAGTGTGTCTACTTTGGAAAGTAGACAGGGGTCTTAATGATCTCATGGGTCACTAGGTCCTTACCAGTCACGGTGAAGATCAGGTGAGTGAAAGATTTTTGAATCTTAACACACATTACCAGAGTCAGGAAATAATTATAACAGGTTATATTTTGTTGTTAATTTATACTCTGAGGATTTTATCTGTCTCCCTCCCCTTTGCATGATGTGTAGGTGAGATTGAAAGACTCACTTGTCAGCTCCCTTCAGTTTTGTAAGGCAAAAGATGCTGAATTAGCTTGGATAGATGGAGTCTTAGACATGAGAGTTTCCAAAGTGGACACAGGAGTTATCTTAGAAGAAGGAGAACTGAAGGATGATGGAGAAGACTCGGAAATGCAGGTGGACGCTCCTTCGGACTCCAGCGTTCTGGCACAACAGAAGGCCATGAAGAGCCTGTTTGGGGATGATGAAAAAGAAATGGGTGAAGAAAGTGAGATCATTCCGACTTTGGAGCCCTTACCCCCCCATGAGGTAACAAGCACGTCCCGCTTCGGCCTCTTCCTTCATTTGTCTCCCTTTGGATTGTGCTTTTATGTTTTTAACTCTTTACAATATGTGTCCAATGTAGGCTGATTTTGGAATTTTAAAAATAAGATGACTCAAGATATGGTTATGTGTTTGCACGCCTGAGTGTGTATGTGTGTGTGTGTGTGTGTGTGTGTGTGTGTGGGTGGGTGTGTATGTGTGTGTGTGTGTCCTAGACGGCAAGGGCTTGATAACAATTTAAAGGAAATGTTTAACAAATATTGTAAGATCCATGATTGCTTCGTGACTGATTTTTTTTCAGTATTTAAATTTTGTTTTGTTTTGTTTTTTTTTAAACGTTTATTTTTTATTTTGAGAGAGAGGGAGAGAGAGAATCCCAAGCAGGCTCCACGCTCAGTGCAGAGCCAGACGTGGGGCTCGATCCCATGACCGTGAGACCTCAACCTGAACCTGACGCTTCACCAGCTGGCCCACACAGGCGCCCCTCAGTATTTAAATTTTGGTTGTGAGGATTACATCACATACCTGCTTCCAGTCAGGAGAGCTGTAGTTTTCTAAGACGGTGGAACTCCTGTACTCCTATTTTCGTGTGTTGTCAATTCCGCTGAAATCTCTTTTGGTTTCGATGTAGTTAGAAATCTTTTATTAAGTATGGCTATAATTTTAATCTAGTGTTTACGTGTTCTCAAGAGATAATCCAGTTAGCAGAGATCTCAGGTAATTAACTTACAGCGGTGTGAAAACTGTGTAGTAAGAGGCCCGTGTTCATGCAGGGGCCTCTTTAGCCTTTCTGTGCAGTAAAGAATAGAACACAGCCTCTGTTGTTGGACTCCCTTCTAGTAATGCTCTTGAGATCGGGGCAAGAACTCGAATCTTTTTACTGTGCTAACGCTAGTGCTCATCAAGGCAGTTTCCAAGTAGCAGCGTTAGGTTGAACCGCTTGTTTTTCTGAGTCCAAAGCCCCTGGCATACACTGCATTCGCCTCAAGGGAGAAGGGAAGGTGAGACTGGGGTCAGGGGAGAACTCTCCTCTGCACTAAATGAAGGAGGAGGATCTGGCAAATGAATTTTTTGGTTCAGTTCTGCCTCCTGGCACTCTCCTTGACCCCCTCAGGCAAGTGGGTGAGTGACGAACATAACTTTACCAGATGTCTCTCTGTTACTGTGAGGCATGACTAATAAAATCGATTGGGAAACATTCAGAAAATGTGAAGGGCTTTGTGATGTTAAGTAAAATAATGAGGGAAAATTCAGAATAACAACTTGGAATGGGACTTACAGCCTTGATACGATCTGTCAAAGGTCTTAAGGGAAAAATAGAAAATATCTTAGAGATCATGTGTTAAATCTCACTTTATTCGGTACCACTGTGGGTCTGGTGTTTTATTTGAGGTTATTCTTTCCCCTTTAACCTTATCTAAGGTTCCTGGACACCAGTCAGTTTTTATGAACGAACCAAGACTGTCAGACTTCAAACAAGTTCTTTTACGGGAGGGGATTCAAGCTGAATTTGTAGGGGGCGTACTTGTTTGCAACAATCAAGTAGCAGTCCGCAGGGTAAGTGTGTTTTTAATAAGGGATGAATTGAAGAAACACTGCCTTCTGATGTGTTGCCCTGTTGAATTCTGTAATTCTTGATTGGTAATTTCACCAACTGGAGATCCATAATTTATATTCATTATGAATGATGACCTTGAAGGCTTATAAAAGTGGCTCTCAAAGAAATGATATATAGTTTCATTGTAAATTTTTATTTGAATCCTCTGACATTTACATGTCTATGTAAAATTCATGACTTGAATGTTAGATCCATATTCTGTGAATCAGAGCAACCCATTTCCAGACCAATCATCAAATAATCTAATTAATATATTTTGGTTATTATATCTGCATATTAATGAATAGGAAATGTACTAAAGGTTTTTTTTTTTTTTTTTTAACTTTCTAGACGGAAACTGGCCGCATTGGATTAGAAGGCTGCCTTTGTCAAGATTTTTATAGGATAAGAGACCTTTTATATGAACAGTATGCCATTGTGTAAAGAACGTGATGTCAAGAAGTGTCTGTTTGACCTTTCTAAGAGAAAAGGGTTCTTATTCTAAGCTTTTGCTTTTTTGTTTTGTAACATACAAAAAAGAAATGCCAGAAAAATTTAACATGCATTAGATTTTTTAAAAATGTAAATAGAGTTCGTTTTGCTAATGGTCAAATGAGCATTCTACCTTTTGACTTTCAGAATGATAGAGATTCTAACAAGTGTGCAGGCCGGAGAGTTGAAGATGATTGGTTTCCTCTATAGACCCCTTATTCTAGAAGGGCTTTTTACTTGAATAAAACAATGCAACTTAGCAAACCAGCTCATGGCCTTAGAGAAACATGTTTGCATGAGCTCTTGCAAACAGTTTCTTACGTTTTCTGGAATGAAAAGTGAGAATTATTTAGAAAAGATGTGTGTTATATAAAAAAAACTGATGAAACGGTTTTTTGAGGCCTATGTGTTTAAAAAACAAAAAACAAAGAGTGTACACTCAGACTTTTCTTTGGAATTCTGATATGCAGTTGGGGCATATCTCCTTATCCCTGCCTATATTTCCTGGGTATTCACTCTAGTCTGAGCTGGTACACATTTGGGTCAGGAATCAATTTTTATTTCTCCCATTTCCTGTTTTATCAAGATTTTGTTGTTCGGTATGAATTATAACAGCATCATTTGAATATATATAATGCAAAAGAAATCCTTGATGTATGCATTTAGATACATCTTAGCTCTCAGCTAGGTTACTTTATCGGAAACTGTTGAGCGCTCTGTTTTTAAGGAAACAAATGCTGAACCACCTATTTTTATAAGGTAATAGTATAATTTAATCAAAAGGTGTAAATGTTTTCATCTCTTAGGCTTGCTCCTTCCTAGGGTTGCTGAAGCAGTGGCTGGATTTTATAACCTTGCTACAAAAATAATACTGAAGTTGGATAAGGTCATCCTTTCTTGTGTTCCTGTCTTTCTTCGGGCTAGCAGCCCTCACGTAGTATAAATCACTTGTGTTTAAGAGTAAAAGCTGAATATATGCAATTCTCATTGAACTTAAAAATGAAAATCGTGTTGCCCAATTGTAACGTGTTGATGCTTTTTCAGTGCGTAACTTGATCATGGCAGTCCTTGATCTTTACTTCCTAAGTATTTAAGCCCTCCTCTTCATACTTAGCGTTTTTAGAAGGATCATTCTTGTTTAACTTATATGGATCTATGTATAGTACCACCCAGTGATATCAGACTAGAATTAAAATTTCAAAGCTTACAAAGAATTTACTGTGGATTATAGTGCTAACGCAAAGTTAGAGTTTTCTGATCCTGAAAACCAGATGTGCAGAACAACATTACAGAAGATGACGGTGAAGAGTATGTTTTCTTTGTAGAGCTTTGAAAATTTTTCACTTAAATTCTTGTTACTGAAGAGAGTAAGCCTAGAATCCTAGTTATATTCCAGGGGAAAAAAAGTCTGCATTCGTTACATGGCTTGAAGCATCTGGTTATACATATTACATTGCATTCCCGATATTGAAAAATTGTTTCTTGCTTTAGCCTTTTTATTGTCCTTTGAAAAGGAATTAAATTTTAAAGTACTGCTTGAAGATGGCTGTGCTAACTAATGTCATTGCAAGAGCAAGACTTTGACCTGTTTCTAGAGGACAGTATTACTAAACTTCCTAAAATGAAGACATTTGTTCAGCCTTGGTTACTTAAGAAAAGTATAAATTTTAAAAAGGACTATAGATAAATCATGAACGCAGAGAACTTTTTCAGATCTTTGTTTAAAGGCAAAATAAATACAAGTGGACCATCAGCTTATATGTATAGATAATTTGGTTAAAAGAAATTTTATTGTAGCATTTGTTACAATGAGATTATAAATGTCAAGTTTCATTACAGTTTTTTTTTGTTTTGTTTTCATGAACCAGTAGGTGTTCTGAAACAGAAGTGCAGAGGTCAATTTTCTAACAAGGGCCTTTAAAAAAAATTGAGCTCTAATTCACGTACCGTAAAATATACTCTTTTAAAGTATATAATTAATTGGCATTTAGTATGTTTAGTGTTGTACAACCATTACCACTAGCTCATTCCAGAACATTCTCCTCTCCCTCAAAAGAAACTCTATACCCATTCCTTAGCAGTCACTTCCCGTTTTTTCCTTCACCCTAGTCCTAGGCAACCATCAATCTCTTTCCTGCCTCTATGGATTTGCCTATTCTGAATATTTCATAAAAATGGTATCATACAAAATGTGGCCTTTTGTGTCTGACTTCTTTCACTTAGCATATTTTCAAGATTCGTTGATACTGTAGCATGTATCAGCATTTTTTATATGGTTGAATAATATTCCATTGTGTGGGTACACCACATTTTGTTGATCCATTCACGAATTGGTGGACATTTGGGTGGTTTCTACTTTTTGGCTATTATAAATAATACTGCTATAAGCATTCCTATACAAGTTTTTTTTTGTGTGGAGATGTGTTTTCAGTTTTGGGGAGTAGATACCTAAAAGTAGAATCGCTAGATAAATGATAGGTAACTCTTTTGAGAAACTGTCAGTTTTCCAAACTGTATTTCCAAACGATTTTCCGAAGTGCCTGTACTATTTAACATTCCTACCAGCAGGGAGTGAGAATTCCAATTCTTCTACATCCTTAGCAACACTTGTTACTCACCTTATTTTTTGTTTTAATCGTTCTAGGGTGTGTGAAGAGGTATCTCATTGTGGTTTCGATTTGCATTTCTTTAATGACTAATGATGTTGACTGTCTTTTCTGTACTTATTGGCCATTTGTATGTCTTCTCTAGAGAAATGTCTGTTCAGATTCTTTGTCTAGTTTTTAGTTGAGTTATTTCTTTTTTATTGTTGAGTTATACGTTTTTAAATATAGTTTGGATACGAAATCCTTATTGGATTTGTGATTTGCAAACATTTGCTCCTATTCTCTTTTTCACTTTCTTGATTGTGTCCTTTTGAAGCACAACATTTTTTATTTAATTTTGATGAATTGTGATTTATGTTTTTGGTTTTGTTTTTTTTCCTTTTGGTTCCATGTACTGTTGGTGTCATATCTTAGAAACCGTCGTTTCATCCAAGGTCACAAAGATTGACACTTATTATTTTCCTAAGCATTTCATAGTTTAAACTCTTAAATTGACATCTTTGATTCATTTTCAGCTAATTTTTATATGTTGTGCGAGGTAGGGGTTCAATTTCATTCTTTTGCACATGGCTATCCAGTTGTCCCAGCATCAGTTGTTGAAAAGACCAATTCCTCATCAAGTTATCACCATTGTTGGAAATCAGTTGCTCGTAAATGTATGAGTTTGTTCTGGGACTCTGAATTCTATCTCACTGATCTGTATATATCCTTATACTAGTACCACATTGTCTGAATTTCTATAGCTTTGTATTAAGTTTTGAGATTGGCAAGTGTGAGTCCTCCAACTTTGTTCTCTTTCAAGATTGTTTTGGCTTTTCTGGTGCTCTTGCATGTCAGTGTGAATTTAGAATCAGCTTATCCATGTCTGCAGAAAAGCCATAGGGAGAGAAAAAGTAGTTGAAATTTATAACTTAAAATTTTAACTGTTATGGCTGAGAGAGACTGTGGAATTCATCTAGTTCAATTCACTTATTTTAGTATTGAATGAATGGGCCTCGGGAAGGGAAGGGATTTGCTTGAGAGCCTCATAGCAGGCCAGAGAGGGAGTGGGACCCAGCCTTACAGAGTCTATTCATTCAGTACTAAACGAATGGATCTAGAACCCATTCAACACTAAAATAAGTGTGTTGAACTAGACGAATTCCACAGTCCCAACCATAACACTATGAGATATCAAGCTGTAAACTTCAACTACTTTTTTTCTTCTGCATTGCTGTGTTTCAGTTCCTTTGTGTATGTTCACTTTGCTTTGGGTTAATATGTTCAGTTGATCTGCTCTGAGAACAGCGCCCAGCACCTGCTAACCTAGGACAGTAGCATGCTGAGGGAGAGCTTCATTTTCATTCTATATGATGGCCAGTAAAGGGGAGGGGGTGTTACCTTCTATACTCTTCTTTGGTTGTAAGTTTCTGGTGGCTTATCTCAGGGTTATCGTCCTTCAAATATTGATGAACCGATGACCACTTATGGCTGGCAATCCAGTGATTGAGAGGTTAATTGTCTTGGTGGTGGTTGTTCCTGGCCACCCCCAAGCCCCCTCTTTTAGCCATTCGGTAACTACAGAATGAATGTGTAAGTGCAGATGGGGTGGGAGTGAGAAGGAACGTTCAGATCTGCCTCCCTGAGCATGGATGGAGGAGGGTGTTTTTCTTCTTCTTTTGATTGTCTCTCACTTTTGACCACCTCAGTTGTGTCTATGAGAAAATACCAAAATGACCAAAATAAATAAACCTAGGACTTTGCTGGAAGCGAGGGTAGCTTTGCTTTTGTCCTTTTCCTCCTCCTCCCCCCCGCCCCCAACCCCTCTCTTTCTTGGTGCTTTTCGTTTGTTGCTCAAGACTATTTCATTTTAATTCTTGAAGTCAAAATATGATGTCAAGGAGCAAAATACAAGTTTGGAGGGTTTTAACTTTCTCTTCATTGTAGTTGAATAGAACCAAAAGTGTATATGCTTTTTTCATGAAATTGTTCATGGATTCCATGGGTCCTGCTCAAATTTTTGATTCTGCCTGATAAACTCCAGTGGAGAATATATGAAGGATTCATGAAGACCTAACATCATTTTCTGAGGTTTTGTTGATGGTAATGTCCAATATCCAATTCATCGTATTTCCTTTTCTCCCTCTAACAATTTGTTTAAGGCACTGCTAAATTGTGTGTTTGCCACTAGTGAAGCCCTTTGAACAGATCTCTGTGGGAAGCTGTTCGTATTCCGGGGGTGCTGCTGCTGGTCTTGTGTTTAATATTTTGGGAGCTCTCATTTCTTTTTGGATTCATTTACCAAGCTTATGAGAAATGTAAATTATTTTAGAAACAACTTGCAGTCTTGGCCCAAATGACATTACCACTTGACTCTAAATGATGGAAAAAAAAAAAAAGATTAAAAAAATGCCTTGTCTAGACAGACATTTGCTACCATAGGAGATTTTTTAAATATTAAACAGTCACTTAACCCCAAACTCTAATTAAAACTAGTAGAATATATCAGAAATCATAAAGATACTCTAATTTCCAATGTAAGTCATGGTTCAGGTTAAATTTCGTATTTAAATATCAAAGGACATAAGTCTTTAATGAGACTGTGTAAATCCTTTATCAGTTATGAGAAAAAATTACTTATCCTAAATGTACAGGATTCAAATTCTCAAGGTTTTTCAGTATCTCATATGTGTGATTTTTTTTTTTCAAGGAGATAAACTATTATAGGAAGAAAGAAGCATGTTTAATGAGGAAAGGGGATTCAGAGTATTCTGAGTTTTTAACTATCGAGTAGAATTTCATATCTACATTATTGCCTATTAAAAAAAGCTTCTTTCACATTTATTTCAGCCATTTTTTAAAGTAGTTTTTACCTGAGATAATGAAAGCATTAAACAGAGATATCTCTAGTAGTATAAAAACCAGTGTAATACATCTCTAATAGCTGAAAGATCACTTGTATATATTTTATTTCAGTTATTTTGGAATAATTTTAAACTGATGGAAAAGTTACAAGAATAATTTAAAAGATCCCACATATCCCTCTTCTAGATTCTCCCGTTAACATTTTGCCGTATTTACCTTATTCTATTTATATATACATATTAATTTTTTAATTGTTATTATACTAAGTTGCAGTTACGATGTCTCATTAGCCGTAACTACAGTACTTCTGTCAGCACCAGGACAGCAATACTGATAAAGTTCTACCATTTAATCCACAAACCCCATTCAAATGTTACCAGTTACGCTAAAAATGTCCTTATCGTAATCCTTTCCTTTTCGCCCCAGGGTCCAGTCCGTGACGATGCATGGATTCAGTTAGGTTTTCCCTCCAGCTTTCCTCAGTTTGGAGTACTTCGTCAGTTTTTCCTTTTTTAACAAAATTGTTTTAGGACCTTGAAATTTTTTGAAGAGTGATGGCCAGTTACTTTGTAGGATAAACCTCACATTGGGTTTCTCTGGTGTCTCGTGATTAGAATCGGATTCCAAATTTTTAGCAAGGATACCAGAGAGGCGATTCTGTGTTCTCTTTGTAATATCAGGAGGCGCTTCATGTCAATTTTTGCCGTTACCAGGGATGTTAGTTTTTAATAGTTTGTTATGTGTGCAAGGTGTTTTCACTGTGAAGTTAATAAGTATTTGTACTTAATTAGTTAATGAGGAATTAGTGTCTTGTGGGGAGCCACTTTGAGACTATATCAATACCTGTTTTGTATACATTTTTATCCTCTGGTTTTAGCATCCATTGATGCCTCTTGGCTGAATCAGGCCTTGCCAAATGGCGGCTTTCTAATCAGACTCCTGCATCTTCAGGAAATTGGCATTCTGGTATAAGCACCTGATCTTCTCCCCTGTTTATGTATTTACTTAGCATCCATTCATTCGTCTCTTTATTATATTAGTATGGAACATGGATTCTGTTTTGTAATTTACAAACTATCTTGATTTATTCTGATCCTCTAGTTGCCCTAGATTTGGCTGGTGGGAGCACTTTCAAGCTGGCTCTTGTGTTCTTTGACACAGTCTCAGGTTTTGTGTGTGTGTGTGTGTGTGTGTGTGTGTGTGTGTGTGAGAGAGAGAGAGACAGAGAGAGAGAGAGACAGAGAGAGAGAGAGAAAACATTAAATTTGCCATCGTAACCACTTTTCAGTGTACCGTTCAGTAGTGTTGAGTGTATTCACATTGTTGTGCAACAGATTCTAGAACTTTTTCATCTTGCAGCAGTGAATCTCCGTTCCCACTAAGCACTAGCTCCACCCCCTCCCCCCAGCCCTTGATAACCACCTTTCTACTTTGTTTTTGTGATTTTGACTGCTTTAGAGTGTGAGTGGAATCATAAAATATTTGTCTTTTTTCGTACTAGCTAATTTCACTTAGTGAACATAGTGTCATCAGGGTTCATCCATGCTATAGCATGTGACAGGATTCCCTCCCTCCCTCCCTTCCTTCCTTTTACTTTTTAAGGCTGCACACTTCATTGTATGGATATACCACATTTTCTCCATCCCCTCATCCGTCAGCGGGCGTTTGGGTTGCTCCTGCCACTTTGCTGCTGTGACTCGTGGCTGTGATGAGCATGGGCGTGCAAATATCGCTTCGAGA